TCATTCCTTGTGGGCAGTGGGTCCATTCTATAAACTAGAATTACAATAGAATCACATCCCCAATTTATGCCAAAGATGAGCAAACCAATTTCCTAATCATGGCAATAGACTAATGGTAAAAATAAAATAGATAATGGCCTGGCATTGTTTGACTTATCTCGTTATACAGCATCCTACTTAAGATTGAGGCAGGAAAAGAAGAGGCTATTTAGGGATTCCTTCTTAGAGTACTCACTAACTTAGTTAAACAATAAGTACATACATCAATGCTGGATTGACAGTAAAAATTATAGACTACAATGTCCTCCCTCAGGAAAAAAACATCAGTAACGACGCCCAACCAGAAGAAAAACCTGTGTTTTCTGCGTAAAAGCTTTTGAATAAGTGCAAAAACTATTGCGTAAAATCTAGGTCAGATCACAATGTTTTGTAATACTTTCCATACATGAATAGATCAATCTAAGACACAACAAAGCCATCAGAATATTAATGTTGAGGTCTATACAAGTTTTGCGTCTGTCCCTTTACTTCACATGCAAAATAAAACCAACAAAGCCTACAAGTGGGAACAATTAGGCCACACAAAATTTCAGGAGGGTCTCAATGTCATGACTAGCTCCTACTACGACATTTCATTTTGGTGTCTTTCCAACTATTGCATCACTTTGCATTGCCAACTTTTGGCTAGTATATAGAGTGCATGGATCGTTACAAACTGGCTAATTGCCTTGTCATCCTTCTAACATGTAATACCCCAAAGGACTAAGAGACGCATTTTAAGTTAACAAAAAATTCCTAGAAGAAAACGACTTCCCTTCAATTTTAAAAGAAGGGCTCAAGTCTCCAACGTGTAAGTTAAGTGACAGCTATCCTACTGCCTCTTGCCATTGCTAGCAAGTATTTACAAAATTTCATCCTTTCTGGAATACAGAATAGTGGCCATGGACTGCGACACTTTCCAACGCTTCTTTTGTATTGGCACACCTTAAAAACACTACTAAAACTAAAGTGAACTAAGACAAGATCCCAAGATTAGGCATATTCAGCCATCAGACGTTTGAATTCCATACATAGCTTATCTGCGAAGATATAACTTTAGATGCCTTTAGTTTCATTTTACTCTAACCTGGCCCCCCATCCTCTGTTTCTTTCTAAAAAAATAACTTCATATCTGCAAAGAAACAACTCCTTACACATACATATATTCCTTCCATCAAGATCTAAGATAATCAGTCACAATATGTAATTTAATTTTGGGATGTTTGAAAAAAGTTGTCCCCTTTTCCTAAATAAGTATAGTACTTTGCTCTTACTTAAGCTCAACCACCAGGTGATCAGTGAACTCAGGTCATATCCTACAAGACATCGGGACAACGTGACAACAACTCATAAACGAAGAGAGTATCTTTTGTTTATGCCAAGAGGTAAAATTGACATTCAAACGCCAATAATAGAACCCCAAGCTTTAGCAACTTTATCTTAAAATATTCCGCATAAGCCAATTTTCAGTTTCTTCAGGTAAATCAAATGTTTACAAAGACATAACTCTACCTGATACCAAAATGAGATCCTAAAAATATGACGTCTCATAGCTCATCACATTGCTCTAACGAGTATACTCATTTATCCAATAAAACTTGAGAATATCTCAGTTAAATGTCTTTGATGTTGGCCAACATGAAGTAATTGGTGAAATAGATCACAACACACTACTAAGACTCTTTCCAGTGAAAAAGAGCAGCTTACAGCCTTCATTAACTAGATTACACATATTTTAAACATCTCAAAAGTCACTTGGTCCGTTCATAAAAAGGTCCAGACTGTAACTAGAAGCACGTTAATCTTGCACTATTATCTACCTTTAATAAACTTTGCCAAACTAACAAACTTGTTTGAGCTGTCTAAATTATCACCACAGATCCAGATATATCTTCAAGTATTGTATATCACCCAAAATGTCAGTACTAAAAATTCTCAATTAACTTGCAAACGAAATAAACATCGACTTCAGAAAGCACACATCAGTTAAGCTGTCAACCTCCAAAAATATAACCATTTATGAAAAATTGACTCCAAAATATTCTCCATTTCAATCAGATGTCTCTTACAAGGATATGTCTAACAAAGTGGTAAAGGGGATGGCAAAAGTGTCAATATCCAATTCGTTCAATCACTGATAGAAATACTCATCAGCCAAAAAGTCATCATGTCATAGAATTCATTTAGTGGTTCAAAATCCCCAACTGATGAAATTACTTAGGCCCTGTTCTGAAGAACACTACAGAGCACAGATGAATCAGCTAACGTAAGCAAGCCTCTAATTAACACTAGCAATAAATTCACTCCTTTCACATTTGGTTGAGAGCTATAAAATAATTCCCAAGGATCTAACTGAAGAGCTTTAAAGGTGCTTATGATGTTAGCCTAGTATGCAGACATTTCTCCATTTCTATGAAGCTCTTCACATCAAAATTGAATAGTATTTGCTTCAAATAATGGAGATAACTTCATTGCAATGCTAAAAAATATGTATAACACTCATGTAACAACTAAGGCACTCTAATTTCAAGCATAAAACATCAGGTGAATCTATTGACGAAGTGTATGTTCATCAAAAACCTTGTGTATTTGCATAGTAATCATATTATTCTCCTCGAGTAAAAACCTATTCTATACTATTGCAGGGCCCAAGTAGAATTCACAAAAACCTGGAATAGCTTAGGAACATATTCAAATGGAGACAATGCAATGCATTACCCTAGTCAAAGTATTCATTACATACATGACCAAGTTGGAGATGACAACAATTTGCTAGCCAATGAAAACTTTCATTTGAATTAAGTCACAATTCTAGCAACAGTAAACAATAAAACATCACTATCATTTAGAAGCCTCAATTACTTATATAGAAACAAAGAACATGCAAATCCTTTTGTCAATTTTTCCACGACATATTGGCACTTTTCCCAATCTTTTTCATCACATTGTATATAGAAGATTAGGTGATGTATCGACACTCTACAACCAAATACCCATAATTACGTGAATTATAGGTTTGTTTTCAATAGTGAATAAAAGGCCTTTAAAACACATTACATATTTAGATACCTAACTCGGAAATACAAATACCAAAGCTTACCAAACTCCAAATAATTCGGCTTTAAGCCACCACAAATCCCAATTAATAGAATTTCTCCAAATAAATGTTGTTACGTTGCTTACGTCCTAAGACCTCTACTGTCCTTAAGTTGGAAATTGGAATATCCTCTTATGAGAGGATTCAAGCATTTTGTTGTTACCATCCCTTATAATTAAGTAACCCGATCATAGAGTTCGTTGGAAATCCACTTGCACTCCAAAATTACGAAAAAAAAAAAGACTTCTACTTGGTCATAAAACCCCAACAACACTCCTATATACTAAGTACAAATATTAATTATATATACATATACACCGTAATATTTCCTAAACTCTCCAATATAAAACGGAGCTTGAAGTATATTATAATTACCATATATCACACGACGATAAGTTTGTCTACACAGGCAAAGTCTAAAAGACAGAATTGTAACACAAGTCGACCCACGGCATTCAACATCAACTTAAATTAAAACATCATTTTCTAATCAATTTCACTCTTCAATATTCTTTGGAGACAAAAAGAAAAAAAAAATTGAAACGTATAAATCCATACCTTATTCAAAAATTCGCTGCCATCTTCGATCAAGATTCAAGCAAATGTGATAAACATGGCCGAAAATTGTTGAGCTGAGAAAACCATTACAGAAAAATATTAAAGCAATTTATAAACGCATCTCTAACATTATATAAAAAAACAAAAAAAAAATATATAATAAAATATCGCTAATCTATCTTAATTCTCAATTCAATCGTATCATACGCTGTTTATTGGCAAATTTTTCATGTGAACAATAAATTTTCCAGAAGAAATTTGAAGTTTGAAATTCAGTTAAAAAGTGATGAAATAGGATTAAATGCAATCTCCTTACCTCATTGATCACGATTGCGAAATTTCACCGAACATTTGGTCTGCATTACACGTCGTCATCTCGTCGACAACACAAAATCGAATTTTTCTTTCTCATCAAATTCGTGTGAATAATATGGAAGTTCTTGATAGATAGTTTGAAATTCTTGATAGATAGATTCTTCCCCTAAAATAAAAATTCTGTGGAATATTGAGTAGCAAATTAAGTTTGGCCTACGGGTAAAGGACGTAAGGTTGAAGTTAGGGTTCAATTCAGGCTTTTGGGTAGAGGTCTTTATTCAGGTGATTGGGTCGGGTTCAGTTAATTTAATAATGTTAGGTCAAGTTCGAGTTTGATTCATACTAAATCTTTGTGTAAAGTAATTTTGTAAGTCGATATCTAGATCACATTACTTTTGGATTAAGTCAGGACAGATTGGTTTTTGGCACCTATACTTTGTGACAATTTATAAGGTTTAAAGTTGGGGTAAAACATGACTTTCACAAGGCACTTTTTCTAACATTCTTAAAGTACTTATCCCATATTCTTTGTTATGAAATTAAATAGAAGCATTGATAAAAGTGCAAAATCAAAAGAAGAACATCGAAAAACATAGAGAGTAAAAAATGAGGATTTATATTGAGAGATCATTTAAGGTTTTTTTGTAAAAGTCATCACATGTCGGGCCGAGTTTTGCCTATAATGTGGCCCATTTCCATCTAAGGCTTTAGGCAGGTAATTGGTTATGGCTAGATTCTAGTTTAGCCATTTATCCCTACACCCCCCCTAAACGACGCCGTACCACACATTCCAGTAACTTCCCTCTAAAACTGCCAGTAACTTCCCACTACCCCACCCATATATATATATAATTAAAAAAAAAAAAAAAAAAAACTTTTCAAATAATCACATTTTTCTTTCTCATCCTCTTTCTCCAATTTCTCACTCAACCTCCATTTTCTCTCTCTACTCCATTTTCGTACATGCAATTAGCAAGTAAAATTGTCTAAAATGTCCGACATAAGAGACGAAATTGCACAATCTCGACAAATTTCAACAACAAACCAAAAATCTAATGAGTAAGTATGTTTTACATGTTTAGTGTAAAATTAATTGAAAATTGCGAAACAAAACCCTAATTTTTTGGTACTTTTTCTTTTTGATGATGCTTCAGGAAAAAAATTGAAAATACTGGAGTTCCAGAACAATCAAAGTAAGTATTACTATTTTTTTTGGAATTATAAGCATAAATTTATTTAAATTTGCTCATATTTAAACAAGTTACTGTTTAATTTCAAAATAAACATAATTTTCCTCTATTTCTGAGACGATAATAAAAATTTAAACAAGTTACTGTTAATATTGGAATGTATGCATAATTTTGATTAAATGATCAACCAAAAAAAATATAAAGTATAGTATTGTGAAATATAATGAACAAATACAAAACAATATATGTTCAAATTGGATTGTGTGCATATATGTGTGCATATATATGTATACATATGTTCAAATTTGTATATTATGTGTACAGCATGCAATTTATGTTTGTTTCTAAATTGTTCATTTCTAAATTTATGTGTATACATTTACTGACATATTAATTGTTCATGTCTAAATTCCATTTTGTACAAATAGAAAACATATACTTTATTCATCTGTGTAGTAAAATGAACATTTACAAAACACTATATTGTCAAAATTCATATTATGTTATATATATCCATATATGTGTATACAAATGTTCATTGCTACAACTATATTGATCATTTATATGAACTATTCTGTACATTTGTCTAACATAGAAACATCATGTCAATTTTTATGATTTACAATATTAATTTACATTGTAGTGATGTACCATTTAAAGTGATACACTTGATGCAATTTGACAATGGAATGTTCAATCCTTATCCTATAATTCATGAGAGAAAAGAATGTTCTGAAATAGACAACAAATTGGATAGAAATGAAGTTATAAAAAAGTGGGAACCCTATTTATTAGGAGACAACCTACATCCCAAGTAAGTTGATATACTTACAAATATTCATATATGTAATATTTAATGTACAATCATTTACTTCAATACTTAATCTCATAATTGAAATAATTTGTAAAATTTTAGTGAACCAAAAAAGTTGAAAGTGAAATTTATAATGCAAGATCAAGGCCAGAGAAAAATCAATCAATAAGGTATAAATACTTAATAAAAATTCAATAATTAATTTTTATACAGTTACATAATCATACTTTTATGTATTAACATTCGAAAAATTTCAGTGAACAAGAGAAGGAAACTTCAAAAATAGATGATGCATCAACAAATCAAGGGTATATTCTACCTCAATGTGTTTAATGTTCATTTATTTCTTAGTTGTCATACATAATCTAATGATTTGCATTCTCAGAAAAAAAAAAAACAACTGAAGAGGAAGCAAAAACTGATCACCTACAACAAGAAAAGGCTGGATCAGAATTAGTGAATACAGGGTATTTGATTCCCATAATGTTCATTTTCATATTACTTAATAAACATTTTTAATTATTTGAAATTAATTGATTTTCAGAAATCAATCACCTAAGAAAGACACAAGAGAGGTTGAACAACTACAACCAAAAAAGGATGCAGCAGGGTATTTTCAAAAATCAACTAATGTTCATTTTCATATTAGTTGATAAACATTTTTAATCATTTTCAATTTTTAATTTTCAGAAATCAATCAACTGAAGATGAGCCTCCAAAAGAGACTACAGCAAAGGATCAGCCTACACAACAAGTGAAGGCTATAGCAGAGGATGAGCCTCCAGCAGAGGAAGAGCCTCCAAAAGAGGATGAGCCTCCAGCAGCAGTTGAAGAAACACATTCATACATAATGCAAAAGTATGAACATATATAACTTATTAAATGTTTCTATTCCACATTTACAATATTATTGATCATAAATTATTTGTTGCCATGAAAAAATTAAAAGTGTCAACTCAAGGAATACTAAAAAAACTGACAAAAAACTGGAAAACTGCTCCTGTTAGCAAGGTCATTGCTGCTAAAAAGGCCCCTGCTACAACTGTTGATACTGCTGGAAAAGCCACTGCTGCTGAAATGGCCCCAGCTACAACTACTGAAAAGTCCTCTGCTGCAGAAAAATCCCATGCAGCAAGTTCTGCAAATGCACAACAGAAGGCCCCTGCTGAAATTAAAAAAATCCTATTAGGTAATGTACATAATTGTTAAATTAAATATTAAATTTTTTTAATCAATAACACTTATACTGAAAATGTTCATTTACCAATTTGTAAATGATCTAAATGTATAGGTGGTGAAGAAATTGAGATTGAGGATGAAACAGAAGAAGAATTGGAAAGACAAGAAGAATTGCAAAGGGATGAGGAGTTGACAAGAATATTGAGAGGTATAAAACCTGTTGAAGAGTTAAATTTGTCTCAAAAGAGTGAAGAATATTCACAAAATTCAAAGCAACCAAGAAGGAAAATGGTTGCAAGGAAAAATCAAAAGAAAAAAGAATTGGAAGAAAATCAGAAAAAACAGGAATATGAACAATCACCAGCAAGAAGAACAAGAAGTAAATCACGAGGTAAATAAAATGTACAATTTCTAATATAACAATGATCATATTAAATAAAATATTACAACTATATTAATATTTATATAACAATGTTTATTTGCAGATGTTAAGTTGCCTGGCATATCAGCTATAGCAACAGCTGCTGCAGCAATTGCTGAAAACCTACCAGCAGCAACAACACCCAAAAAACCTGGGCGTCCAAGGGCTGCAACTGCAATTGCAGAGAAACCTGTTGAGAAAACAGGGCGTACAAGGGCTGCAGTTATTGGGAAAGCAGGCCAAAAAGGTAAAAGAACATATCTAAAACAATAAATGTTCAATTACAATCTTACACTTTTAAAATGTTTATTTTACTTAATGTAATTGATCAAATAATTAGGTGGTCAGAAAAGACCTGCTGCATCAGCCAAAAGTCCTGCAAATAAAAGAAAATTCATAGATCAAGTGCCTTATAATGAACCATCAGAGGATAAAGAACAAGAAGAAGTCCCTGCAACAAGTTCTGCTCCTGCAGAAAAGAAAATTCTTAAAAAAGTAGAACAAAAAGGTAACGTACATATTAATAAAGTTAAATGTTCAAATACAAACTAGCAATTTACACTTTCATATATATATGTTCATTTTACATATTATAATTGATCAAATGTTTAGGTGGCCAGAAGAGGCCTTCTGCATCAGCTAAAGGCCCTTTGAAGAAAACAAAAATCATTGAAGAACAATCAAAGGAGGAAAATGAAGAAGATGATAAAAGTAATACTGATAGTGGATCAGACAGTGAGGATCCAACTTTTGATGCTGAAAAAGAAGAAGATGAAGAAAGTGAGGAGGTGGAAGTAGTTCAAGAAAAGAAAACAACATTGAAAAAACCAAAAGCTGAAGAAAAAAGAATGGTTCTGTATGAGAGGGAACCAATAAAAAAGATTGTGAAGAGGAAAACTAAATTTTCAGTGGCTAAAAAAAAAAGAAGAGGAGGAAGAAAAGAATGAAGAGGAAGTTGGAAGTTCGACAAGAGGAGGCCATGTCAAATTCATGCATTGGGTTAAGAAAATGAGTGATACACAGAAGAAATTAGTGCATGAAATAGGACTGGGGCCGTTGTTGGATATAGAACTTCCTCAGCTTGACAAACAATTCAGCCATTGGGTTTTAGATAGCTTTGAAGTCAGTAGTTGTAGTTTTGAGCTGCCTAAAGGTGAGAAAATTGAAATTGAGGTGGAGGATGTGAGAATTGTATATGGTTTGCCAATGGGAGACATTCCCATTGTTGAAGCCAAATCAGACAGAGCAAGTGAAGATTTTGGTGTATTTATAAAAAATTGGAGGTCAAAATGGCAAGGCAAAACACCATCTGTAAACCAAATTATTGCTCAATATACAAGTGATAAATTCAAAAACCAAAGGCCAGCAGAAGAAGATTTTCTCACCAACTTTTTGGTAGTTGCTGTGAATTGTTTGATGAAGTGTATTTCAAACAACCAATGCCATTTCAAGTTTCTGTTTTCTATAATGGACAAAGAAAAAATAAAAAACTTGAATTGGTGTCAGTACGTGTTTGACTCTCTCATCAGTTTCCATGTGACATGGAGAAAGAGTGGAGGAAAAGGATTCTACAATGGACCACTGCAATTTCTGATGGTAAGTTTACAACACACAATAGTAAATTATAAAATGTTCATTTTAGTAACAATGAATGTTCATTAACAAAATGTTAAATATCGATTTCGTCTAAAATTTTAATCTTTTATATTAATTGTTCATTTGTATTATATTATATGTTCATTTATAGTAATGGGTTTTGGTGCAGCTGTTCTACTTTGACAGAGTTCAAAGATTGAACAAAAAACAACCAAGAACAATTCCAATAATTTCTTGTTGGAAAAGGGATATGTCACTTGAAAGGATAAAAACAGAAAATGATTTGAACTATGGATATGGAAAAGTCCTTCCAAGAATAGAAGAAAAGCATGCGGACAATCCTAAGGTACAAAATGATCATTTATAAATTATGAAATGTTCAATATCAAAACACATAATGTCTTATATGATTTTTCTTATATGTTCTATAAATGACAGGTCTTTATGAATGAATTTGCATCAATGGTACAAGAAGTTGGTGCATCTTTGGCAAGACTTTCTACCAAATTGGTTAAGGCAAAAGAGCTCTTCCCTGGGAATCAGTTGGTCAAGAAGGTAGATGAAGTGTTGGGAAAGATGGCAAGAGAACCATCAATTCTCAGCCAAGATGAAGAAATATTTGGATCAGAGGATTTTTTGAATGCCATAGCTCAAATTGAGAAGGAACTGATGGAGGCAAGTGAAGCAGAAAAAAAGAAAATAGGAAATGAGAAGGAATATGATATAAGGAAGGCATTCAGTTTGGGTTGCAACTTAACTCCCCCAACTCCAACAACTGGTAAATATGCTTAATTAAAAACTGTCATTAATTTGAATATCCTTACTTAAAGAGTATAATATAATTAAAGAATTAAAATTTAATTTATTTGAACACAGAAGCACAGATTAATGTTGCAGCCACAACTTCAACAACAACTGATGCAAATGTTTCTTCTAAGCCAGAAGAGGGTAAAGCTTTAATATCTATGTACAATTATGAAAAGTATAATGTTCATTTATAAAATAATAAGTTTGTTTAGTCTAAATATTCAAAAAAATATATATTCAGAATAACAAATGTTCATTTACATTAACAATTACATATATTTTAAATCAACAGAAAGAGTTGGAGGTTCAAATTCTGAAGAACCACAAGATGGAGGAAATTCAAAAAAGGTAAAAAGTTCACTTATATAGTATTAAATGAATATTTGTGATTGTAAGATATTCTTCTTTAATGATACTAAGTCTATATATGTGTGAATGCAAATTAATACAAAAAGCATTAAACAAAGGTGAAGGTTCAAAATCTGAAGCATTAGAAGAAAATGTTGAAGGAAATTCAAAGAGTGGTACAATGTTCACATATTACAAATAAATGATCAAATTATTAAGTATAATGTTCATTTCTAGTTATATTAAAAATTTTTCATGTATTTTGTTTGCAGCATCTGATTCAAAAGTTGGTGATCCCAAGACACCAACTGAAAATAGGGAAGCTGCCGGAGATATTTCTATAATCTTGAAATCTCCAACATGTTCAAGTATGAAAGATATCCTTGATAAATAAAACAAGAAAGGAGGAAGCATGGGGTAAACATGGAAGACCTATCTTGTTAGAAAATATATAATTTTGAATGGACATGTAGAATAAATTTGGTTATAAAGTGTAATTATTTTGGACAGTTTTTGTTTATGAAGTTAGTAATGGATATGTATTATAAAATCAGAAGGGAATATTTTGCTTTAGGGTAGGAATGCACAATTTAAGATATGTAAATTATGTATTTTAATTTAAATGTTTTAGTAATATTTTAAGTGTTTATTGTTCAAAAAAGGAGAATAATGTTTTTTTTTATATTAATTACTCTTCATTATTAACCATGATTAATATTTCAGAGAAGACAAGAAGAAACAGATATATGCTTCAAATGTGAAGGAAAGGTAAATGATTATTCCACATATACATGTTCTTTTACGTTAAACTGAATAATCATTTATACTATATTTATATTCAGTGAGACAAAAAAGGATTCAAAAGAAATTGAAACAGAGAAGATTCAAATTTCCAAAAACACAACAGGACAAAGGTAAATGGTCTTTACATGTGTATAGATTTATAATGTTCATTATCAATATACTAAATGATCATTCATAATTCAATATTTATTCAGTGACAGAGAGAAGACTTTGGAAAGAAAAAAATCAAGAGAAGCTGAGAAGGCAAAAACTGAGATTGCAAAGGAAAAAGAGATAAGGTATTACTATTTGTTCTTTATATAAATTATTTGTTCATTATTAAAAAAATTCATATTTGTATTAATATATGGTCACATTAACTAGGCCACAAAGGGAAATCCCAAATGTTCCTCTTGCTTTCCGATCTCCATACATGGTCAAGTACAAGGATTTGTTCAAAGATGAAGACACAATGAACAAACTTGTAACAGACTATGCTTATAGTGGAAAAGATCAAAGGTATACATCACTTACTTCATTAAAACTTTAACATTATGTTTGTTGTAAACTCATAAAATTTAAAAAATTGATATTTTGCAGTGAGCTACTATACTATGATGGAGTGAATTCGATCAATAGGGAAGAGATGAAAACTCTTGAAGGGGATACATTAGTAGTTAACAATGTGATCGATTCATGGGCAGTACTTCTGAATCAAAAAAGGTCAAAGAACAAGTTATACTTTTCAACATTTCCACATGTAAGTCTTTATTGAAATTACACATGTATACATTGGTGTACTAAAATGATCAATTCACTTATACTAGATGATCATTATGAATATTAAAATGATCCTTGTGCATTATTTGCAGCAAATTATGTATGCAAATACAGTGTGTCCTGAAGGATCATCAATGGAGCTTAGAATTGCATACTTCAAAGAAAGAATAACAAATGAATTGAGGTTATACAAAATCAAGAGTGCAGTTGGATATCAACAGGTATTAATGAACAATATGGAATTATAATATGTTCATTTACATTAATGTGTGTATATAATAATATTGTGTACTATGTACAGATTTTTTTCCAGTGGCCATATATGCACATTTCTATATTCTATGCATTGATCATATCAATGAGACAATGCATATAATTGACAACAGGAAACTGCCAAAACATCAAACAATTGCAACAAAGTATGAAAACCAACTCCAATTGGTGGTAAGTATATTGTTTAATAGATATATAAATGATCAATTTGTTTATACAAAATGATCAATATTGAAAATTAAAATGATCAATATTAATATGATCCTTTGAATTTTTTTTCTGTATATGTTGCAGTTAAAAGGATATGCAGAATATTTGAAAGGGTTGGGGTATGAAGATGCAGATTCTATTGAGAAATATAAGGTGGTTTTGCAAAAAATGAAGTGGAGGAGCAACGAAGATTACACCAACTGTGGAGTTTACATTATGAAACATATGGAAACTTTCACTGCTGATCCCAATGAAGAATGGGTTTGTGACCTAAAACCAAACAATGTAAGTAAATTTCAACAAAACAAAAAAATATACTTCATGATCACTTTATAATACATAATGATCATTTATATCCCATTAATGTTCATGTTTATAATAAATTATTTTCTTGGAACAGGTAAACCAAATCAGAAAGCTCAGAGTACAATACACTGTTGAACTAATGCTGAATGAAGGAAACAGGCAGTCACAGAACAATAGAAGAGCAGCAAGAAGATTTGCACAAGCTTAATACAATATGTTCATATATAGACATATATATGATCATACTTGCTTTCAGTATTTGTATGGACATAAGTTTTTGTTGTTGTTCAAGTAAAGACAAAATTTGTTATCTTTTTAATATTTACAAATAGTAAAGTGTTACATTATAATTGCCAGTTTTAAATCATCTAATATAATTATTCCAATTTAATAATGGTTCTTACTATTTAAAATAGTATATGATCACTTCCAAAAGCAAAAATAATCATTTATAGAACATTTAAGAATAGTTTGAAAAAAAAAAAAATTCAAATTACTTAATAAATCAAAATATAAAAAACTTAAAGCACTTGAATCTCTATAAAGTTGAGACAACTAAAAATGTTGATAGTTAAACTCCAAAACATAATTGCATATTGATTTACTCTCTTATTTACCATTTGTAGCCAATCTCTTAGCCACACTAGTATCAAAAAACGCTAATAACCTATCATATTTGGTTGAAATCTGTGGAGAACCTCCTTGAGTACTTCTTGAAACAGTAGGAGATCCTTGAACATTCATTGAAACACTAGGAGAAAGTAGAACATTCCTTGAAACACTAGGAGAAACTTGCACATTCCTTGAATTTCCTTGAGTACTTCTTGGAACATTAGGAACATCATGCACATTTCTTGAAATACTAGAATCAACTTGAACATTCCGAAAACAGCCTTGAGGACTTCTTGGAACATTAGAAGGAGCTTGAACTTTTTTCGGAACACTAGAATGAACTTGAACATTTCTTGGAGCTTTTGGAGGATTTTGAACAATGCTAGAAACTTTAGAAGGAGCTTGAGCATTGATTTGAGCATGCACAACTGTGGGAAATTGTACATTTCTTGGTTTCTTTGGTGGCAATTGAGAACTTGTTGGAAAATTATCAACATCATGAGCAATTGCAGCTGTTTTACCCTAATGATCAAAATTAAAATAATTAATGATCAAATTCAAAATTCATAATGACCTTATACAAAATTAAAAGGTAGATGATTAATATTTCACCTTAACAATAGAAGATATGTCTGGATCAACAATAACGTTTGATTGCATAGAGCTATATCCATATTCCTATAATAAAATGAAAATTATAAAAACATTATAATCACAACTTAAACTACTAAAATGAACAACTACAATTACATACATAATCATTTACATAATACCTGTTCAAAGTCATTTGAAACACTATCATCTGAAGGGATATCTTCTACAATGACAGTATTTTTATTACAAACCTTGAAAAAAAATTAAAAGTAAAAATGTTTAATATTCTAAAGAATTTGATAAAAACAGATAAAAAAAAAAGAAAATAAGTTTTTACCTGAGCACTTGGATCTTCAATCACAATTAACTCATTAGGATCAGCCAAAGAATTAGCATAAGATATAGGACACCCATTCTCGTCCAATTCCTAAGGCAAAACAAAAATGTTCAATTCTGGAACATAAATGATCAATAACAAAAACATAAATGTGCATTATTACCTGAACTACTGCTTGACCTTTAGATCTTTTATAAGGAGTGTATACTGACTTTTTCTTCAACCACTGACCCCTGGCTTTGTTATAAGTCTTCTCTAAATTACTCTTAGGCCTATAATTCCTCTCTCCAATAGGTCTTGATTTTGCCGGATTCTTAACTTCATGATCAACAATTTCAATACCTTCAACCGGTTCATTAAAATCAATAGTACCAGTAACACTCTCAATCTTTTCTTTTAAAAGATTGAAATAACATTCAACCTCTGCTCTAGCATTCAAAGAGTGTTGACAACTTGTTACCAACTTAACAAATTTCCTTAGTGTTTGTGTCCTCCAAACACTTGTAGATACTACATTGGTTTTCATTGTAGGTTCATCAAGGCCATGACTACACATAGCAGCCTTAGTCCACCTCTTACATATATAGTCATCTGGAATCTTATGAACACAATTCATATGATAAATTCGAAGAGCATGACAACAAAGCAAACCCATTTCACTAAACAACATGCATGTACAACATATTGCATGTGTTTCTTTATTAAAAACAACCTCGTGCTTGATCATATCTTTCCCAGGTCTCCACAAATGATAATAATATTCAGGAAAATTCACACCAGCATCCTTATGATCACAAGCAGTACCCTTAATGAACTCTTCCTCAAAAAGCACATAAGCTTGAATAGTATACAATGATCTAGCATGAACAAGAATCCCAATGTATGCAAAAGCCAAATGACGATTACCTCTGATTGTATTATAATCTCTCCCTTTTTCTTTGCTTCTCCACTCTTGAACCACATCGAGAAACACTTGATAGAAATCACATAGACCTTGTGTCTTGTTAAGCCTTTGAGAAACTGATTTGTTAGTTGTCTCACTACGTTGAGATGAAAGCACACCTCCTGACCAAAATTTCTTTGAAAAAGCTGGACACCACATCTCTTTGATTTTATACAAATCATTCAACCAATCAACATTTGCACAGTCATATTTCAACAACATTCTGTAAATGAAACATGATCATTAAGCATAACAGTTATGATCATTATAAATAAACATTTATAAAAAACTAAATGTTCATTTCTGTAAAAATTATTTAAGAAGCTAAACAAGTATAAAGCAGAAGTACCTTTTCCAATAATGCTCAAATTCTGGTGGAGTTTCACAATACTTCAGTAAATAACCAAATAAATCAGTGAAACCATCCAAAGCTCTCAACGCCCCAATGTGTTTCTTAGAATTTTGTTCAATATGCCACACACATAATCTATGATGAACACCTTTGGGGAAAATATTTCTTATCCCAGCTGCAATTGCTTGAGCTTGATCAGTCATAATAGTAATAGGACTTCTCCTTCCCATAGAAGTTAGAAAAGTATCAAATAACCACTCAAATGATTCTGTTCTTTCATTAAGTATAAATCCCATGCCAAACATCACATTATTTGCATGATGATTCATACCCACAAATGGAGCACAAATCATACCATATTTGTTAGTCCTATAAGTAGTATCAAAAACTAACAAATCACCAAAGTAATGATAATCTCTCATCATCCTTCCATCTCTCCAAAAGAAATTAACCAATGCACCATTTTCCATCTTGTTCAAAATCATAATAGAAATCTGTTTCATCAATTTGTCTCTTAGCAAAAAATTTGATTAGTTGATTGTTGTCACCTCCCCCAAGTTTAGCTGTCTTTTCAACAGAAATAGCATTATAAGCATCAGGAGCTGTAAAACAAAGGTTAGGAGACCCTCCAACCTCCTTCTTCAAAGCTCTCAAAGAATCAGAAACTTTAACTCCACTCAATCTAAGTGTAGAAATGAAATTAATATGTTCCTTAGAAATATCCCTTTGAGACCTTATTAAATGTCTCTTGTCAACAGGAATCATTTCATGATTATGAACCATCTCATGTCTTGTACATGTATATACACCTGAATGGTCAATACTAAACTGCACAAAAGCTAAGCAACCAGTCCTTATGTTAAGTCTCTCATACAACTTATTATTCCTGCACTTATCATCTTTAAAACCCTCATTTGTACAAACAAATCTTTTCATAGAGAATGAATCATCTCTTCGCCTCTTACTTTTTTCAATTCTAATTCCAAAGCCCTTTCTAAATGCATATTCATTAAACATTTCATAAGCCACATCTTCAGAAGGAAATTGTTTCCCATAAAATTCAGAACTAGCTGCTTCCTCAAATAAAATAGCATTCTTTTTTTCCACTGCAATATTAAAATGTAACAAATGAACACAAATAATAGCAATAATGTACAATAACCACATGTAAACTGTTAATGATCATTTATAATTACATAAATGAACATATATCAAAATGATAATAAAACATATAAATGAACATTTATGATTACATAGATAAATGTAAATTACAGTAATTACACCTATGTTAACGTAAATGTACATATAATATAACATACATGAGCATTAATTGAATGTCAAATTTTATAAAACTATAGACAATCATTAAAATGCAGAAAACTGGAAAAAAACATCAATCGAATAACAACATTACAAAGAAAAACAATAAAATCACAACAATACATCACAAACTATAAATTAAAATAATCATAAATAAAAATGAAATCAAATATTATAATCGACCATAATTTTGATTTTAATTCATACAATAAGCAATAACAATTAGCTAAACAATAAAATCAAAAATTATAATTGAGCATTATATAAACTATAGTTCATACAATTAGCAAAACTATGAAATCAAAAATCAAAATCGAACTATTACACGCGAAAAACAGAGCATAATCAAAATCGAATGATTGAGGAAAAAATTACTCACATTGTTTCGAAAACGAGTCGACTAAACCAACTCCAGCAGAAAAAATAGAATCACAATCACGATCAAAAGCAATTAAGCTAGAATCACTGTCACGATCAAACGCAATTGAGCTAGAAATTTCCATGGAAGAAGAGAGAGAAAAATTGGGGGAAAAATAAAAAATGCAGGAGAGAGAAAATGAAATAAGTAAAATATGAGATAAATAAAATGGAAATTAGGTTAAGAAAATCATTATATAGTTGCTTGAATAGAAAGTTAACAAAAATGAAAAAAGATGAAGAAAAAAAAATGGCAGAATGGTTCAATATAAAACGACGTAGTAGCATGGGGGTGTAGGAGAAGCTGGCTACCCTAGAGTCTAGGCAAAAATTTGTATTAGGCAGGGTGAGGCAAGGCCCAACTTCAGACACAAAAAGTTTGTCCTAACTCGTTATTTCGGGCAAAAAATACGGGCTTTAAGGGTCAAGATCAAGCCAGACTTAAATTTTAACTAAAATGTAATTTTAGGTTGCCCAAAACCCAAATTGTTTTGAAAAAAGGATGAGCCAAGCTCGAATTCATACCAAAAACTGCCCAAAATCTAACATTTTTCTAGGTGGGCCAACTTTGATCAGTTGTATGTAGACCTGTCAATTCGGATCAACGAGTCATGTTCGGGTCAAATTTCGGATTGTTTGAGTCATTTGGTTCTGGTAATTTGGATCGTTAAGGTCTTTACAAAATATGATAGATGGTCATAATCAGGTCGTTTGGGTCGGGTCGGATTTAGGTTTTCTATCAATAACTCGGATTTGAAATCGAGACGGGTCAAAAATTAATAGGTCTAGTTGTACGACAGTCCGAAATTGTTAAGTTTTACCGATGTCATTTACGTAAATAAATTTTTAAAAATAATAATAAATAAATACTCCGTAAATCTTACACCGTAAACGCAAAAACGGAAGTAAGGAACCCTGAACCAAAAAACCATTCTTCAACTTCATCTGTCCGCCTCCATTACTCGCAGAAACACCCAAACACACACAACAGCAGCAGCGAAGAGAGAGAAAAAACCAACAATGGGGAAGAAGAGAGCGAAGAAGGTGAAGAAAGCATGGCGTAATATCAGCTCCGAAGAATTCGAGGATTTCAACGAGAAAACTACTCGTGACGCTAATTCCGGCGGCTCCCTTGCTTCCGCTCCCAGTGATTCCCTCTTTGTTCTTGATAAATCCACCGGTATATCTCTTTCTCTATGTTCCCTCTAATTATGTTCTTAGTTTTGATTTAATTTCATTGTTTTTACATTCAATTTGATATAGTTGTATCGTTGAGAGTTTAATTTTGCATATGGGTTTATGTGTTAAATGAGAATTTTTTCTGTTAAATTAAAGCTATTATACTTAGATATATGAACGTTTAATTGATTTGAGGGATTCATTTTGATTTAGTTATATTGTTGTGAATTTAATTTGATTATGGGTGTTTGTGTTAAATTCCATTATTGTTTGATATATTTCAAATTAAAGCTAGTATATTTTGTTATATGAGCATGAGCACTTGAGGGATTCGTCAGAGTCTAGAAGGCTCTGGATTGTCGGGTGAGGTACCCGAGTGTGACCTAGAGCTGTATGTTTAGTCACATATATTATTATAGTAGAATCAAAATATTACCATAAGCTAAATTTTGTACTAGTACAATATATGTGATTTAATTAGTCAACGTAGAAGCAAAAAATCATAGACGATGTATGAATTAGGAATTTTTCTGAGGTACCCTAGGTTAAGGATTTATTTTGGGCGTGTCTACAGTTTTTACATGAAATTTTTGAAGAAAGTTGGGTTTTTTGAATGATTTAGATGTACCGGTGAAGCGTAAAATTGAGAAGAAGAGGGAGAAAGTACTGCGTTTCGAGAGTATACTACAGAAGAATCCATTTGTTAAACCTGTGGAGTCATCTACTCTCAAGGATTCCAAGAAGAAAAAGAAAACAGTTGATTTGGCTAAGTCTCAGGATTCTTCCAAAGATAAAGTGAGTTTATTTAACATCAACAAATAGTTATGTTGAGTGTTAAGACAATGCATCAAGTGTAACGTGTGCTTTTGTATTTTCAGGATAAAAAAGGCCCCGAATCTGGCAAATTCGATATATGGGATACTCAAAGTAATATTTGCTATCTTTGTTATTTTGAGTTCCAGATCTTGTTGTTTACTTTATCGTGTAATTTATAAGTTGTCTTTCATGCATTCTTGCAGGTACAGTAAATTTCAAGGGCAAGAAGGTATGTTGATGACTAGCTATTCATTTTCTTTTGTTTGAAATTTTGAGAGTATATTTGTATCTACATTGGTGGTGTTTAAATTTTTATTTATTTTTAATCATTTGCATTTGGTACAGAAAGCAATTCATACTCGATATTCTACTAGCAGAAAGAACAATTTCATCATCCAGTCAACTTTTTTTTCATCAGTGATCATTAGTAAAATATTTGACCTCTTAGAAACACAGGTCATTGGTTGCAAATTTGGTGTATGAAACTTGGTATTCGAATACATTTATGTTTCTGCTTCTTTTTATTTGATTGGTCATTTTGAAAAGAATTGTGCTAATCTAATCATCTAATGATTCACTCTTTCGCTTATTGTGCTTTCCATCCTTTAGTATGTAGACATTTGATTATTTATTTCCCTTTAAAAGGTGCTTGCACTGGTACACATGTTATGGGAAATATTTAGCTTGTCAAATTTGGATACCTTTTCTGTTGATCTTTGGGCCTTGGTCTCTTATGAGATCCCTTGATTTTAGATATATATTTGGTGCACAGAGTCTATTACTTGATTCTTTTTACTGTTTCATATCAATTTTTGGGCTCATCCATTTTCCTGGAATATCATTGCAGTAGCTCTTCATCTTGTCCTCAGCTGGTAACACTTAAAGGGCCATTTGATTCAAGAACTGTAGTGATTGGGAAGTGTTTAGCATTTTGAATATGATAAACAAGTGATGTGATGACAGAGAGACGTAGCTGTAGTGATGTATGCATTGTCAGCTTTATAGTGAAATTGGTACCTTTAATCAAAATCTTATAGTATCAATTTTATTGCATGTTTACATAGTGACATAGTTTGTTAATTTAAAAGGAACATAACATAAAGAACCAAGACTTTTAGGTTTTAGCCTTAGTACCTAGGCTATTAGGAAGTTTAGAAATCTTCACTCTCAATTGGCTAGGTAGTACAAATGGGTTAGGTTGCTTAAATTTTTATCTCACTAACCCCTCTCTTTGCAATATTGATCCTGTCCAAAAACCTTATCATATCTTTTATTTTGTGCCTTATAAAAAGATGTCCTTGATGCTGTGTGTGTAAGTACGTAACTACTTATGTATGTGAGTGCCTGTAAAAACTACATATGTAGTGTGTGCATACGTGTAAACAAGGGGCTGTATATCGTTTATCTATGTAATATTCTCTATTTCTCTTGATGACCCATGCCTTTGCATAATTAATATTGCCAATTTTGCCCTTTTTATATCCCTTATTTTACTTATTATCCTAAACTTATTACTATAAACAGTCATACTCGGCAAGATGTAAGTATTATTTGTCCATAATATTATTGATTTATTTGTAGAATTAGAAACCCCCAGGTCTGATCATTTGGAAGGGTTTCCATGTAGCAATATCTTGTACATTTTATTGGTCTCATCATATGTCTGGCTGCATATGATCTAGCTCCCTTGTCTGACTGGTGACCATTATGAATTGTTTGATTTACAGAAAGGTAAACCTTCACAAATTCCAGCAATTGAAGTTGAGCCTCAAGGATGCTCTTTTAATCCAGAGGATGAGAGTCACAAGGTTATTAGTTATTACCCAATATCTCTTATTGTCTAGCGGTTTTAACCACATCAAACGTTTACTTAATTTTTTTTTGAAACAAAACATTTACTTAGGGGTCTTTTGGTTGGATCATTTGGAATGGATTGGAATGGAGTTAGAATCCATTTCTTCTATTTTTTTGTTTGGTTGAGTTTTTTTAGTAATGGAATCTCACACCCAAGGGATTCTAACTCTACCCCATACCTATGAAATCCCATACCCACCTTCTCCCCTAAGATTCACAATCCATTCTATTAATGAAGAATACAATCCATTCCAACATTAAACCAAACAACTTTAGGCTAGTATGAGTTTTAGAATCCATACCTTTCTAGTATGAGATTCCATTTCAATCCATTCCAATAAAATGAACCAAACACCCCCTTAATTTTAATCAATGAGCATTTCAGGACTCCTTGGCACAAGCTGTTGCAGAAGAGATGAAGAAAATTTATAAAAAGGAGCTGGAGCCTGAGCCAATTCCTTTAACTGTTCCTGGAGAACCAGTCACTGAAGATGATGTGAGTTTTTATTCATTTTAGCCTGCCTGGTTTGAGCCTTGCGCTATTGTAGTTGTCTTATGAAACAACAGAAGATCCTGACAATAGTAACATTTATCAGAAATATTTTCTAGAAGTGGACAATGAAGATGATGAGTTAATGGACGAGGAAAATCAAACTGAAGATGGGAATATCGAAGATGAAAAAAGGTAAATTTTGCATTTCTTTATTAAGTAGAAGATTTGTACTCCTTATATATGTGCGCCATAACTAAGAAATTTTGCATTTCTTTTGTGCTTGGCCCCATTCCCCCTTTGTAACAAGTCAAAGTTGTTGCTTAATCTGTACAGCCTTTTATTCCAAGTTTGAGTTTTGCTTGGCTTGAAGTTCCATCTGTTAATTTTCCATGCTCTATCTTTTTGGTTGCGATTTTTTATCTTCTTTATTTTCTGTAAATGCTATCTTCTATGTAGACAATTTTTTTGTAGTGTATTTGACCTTGGTAAGGTGTAAGGTTGACCTGGGAGCTCATGTAGCTAAGAAAAATAATGCTGCAGGAAACGTAAAGAAAAACGGATTACCACTGTTGAGAAAAACAAAAGAATTAGACGGAAGGAACAGGAAAAAGCCTCAGCAGAAGCCAAGAAGATTGAAGAGCTTTCAAAGGAAATTGACAGGTATGTTTTACTCATCTGGGGCAATGAAGTAGTCCTTTTTTCTTTTTTTTTTTTTTAAAAAAAATGGTGGTCGTTTCTTTATTTGTTTCCTTCTTGTAGCATACCAGATTTACTTAAGGAAATAGCTGAAGAGGACGAAGAAAAGCAAAAGAGACATCTCCGTCGTATGGTAGCAAAAGAAGAAAGGCTAAAATCAGGCCCTCCACGTTTGGGAAAACGAAAGTATGTGGTACCTAATGGTCTAATTTCATGTTGAATTATATTATTAAATGTGCTTCCCCCCCCCCCCCCCCCCCTCTTTCGTCTTAGGCAAACTGATCAGACCCAAAATGTACTGGAATTTGATATGTAGCTATGAACAGACCTGAAATGTACTCGAAAAGTCGAAATCTATGATTTATCTTCCATAATAAACAATAGCACTCTCTGGACCCGACCTTACCCTGGACCGAATGACTCACCACCAGAATGGTCCTGAGCCAAACTACTGGTTTTCCACCTCTACTTCTAATGCCAATGAATGTTGCTTTCAGGTTTGAGCCTGCCCCGACTCAGGTTCTCCTGACTGAAGAAATTACTGGATCCCTCCGCAAGCTGAAGGTTTGCTGCTTATAAAATCAACTTCCCTTCTGTGTTGGATTTATGTCTGGTCACTTGTTCGATAATTTCAGTATATTGCCTAATTCTTGATTTTTGTTTCTGTTTTGCTAAGGCTTGTTATACGTTAGCAAGGGATAGGTTTAAGAGTCTAGAGAAGAGAGGAATACTTGTCCCATCAATGAAGAGGAGCAGGTTAGCTTGAGTTCAGAGTAGTAGATATGCTTGTTTTCTACAGCAGTCACAAATTCCAAATTCTCACCTTTTTTTCATTTTTTTTTCAGGAAATAGTCGTTTTGAGAGCTGCTGATATCTCAAGAGGGCAAGGCTTGTTTACAAAATCCTACACAAATTTTGATCTGTCTATTTTGTAGTGAATGGGATTTCTCCGTTTTTTCCAGTTTTTTGCTTTTAGTTCTTTGTTGAGAGGTTTTGCTAGCCAAATCTGTAGGTAGTAAGGAAGATATGGTCCTCCCCAAAACAAATGGGAGTGAATACTGTAATTCCAATTCATGGATCATGATATTATTACTAATTTACTGTATGTTATAGAAGGCCTAGTTATGATATTTGTTTTGCCTGTCTTGAACTAATATAGTTCCAAATTACTTTTCCTGTGTATTCTGTATTTTGAATTTGACAAGCACACAAGATGGTACAAAGCAATAATAATCAACAATGAAATGTGTAATTTTAAAATACTCCGTACTTCCACGGTAATCTGGAAGAGACCATGTATGATGTACCACTAAACAGATGACATGTAGGATGTACCACTAAGCAGGTGGCTGCAGGTGTAACCACTGCATCACCACTCATCCAAGAGAGCACAAGGAAACCCATGTAGTGAGCTCAGACCGCCCTCGGATGTTGATCGTAATGCACAAGTGGTGAGCATCACAACTGTAATTGTGCAACAATAGTATGCTTTCCTATATTTGCAACAATGGACAAAGGCTAATGACATGCCGATCGTTTATTGCCCTACAAACTCTCCTTTCCTCTCCTCTAATTATGCAAATCTACTTAAATGTGTTCTGCTTTTATTAAATAACTAGGTTTTTTTTTCCATTTTACCAAAAACTAATAAAGGATTAAATGCATTTAAATTTTTGACAAATTTCTAAAGCAATGCAAACAATGGCGGATGATCCCCAAGTAGAAGATGATAAACCAGTATCTAAAGTAGCAATCATAGATGAAAATTACTGCACCCAAAAATCCCAAGAATTTATAGTCCTAAAGAAAATGACCAAATTTCAAACAAATGCTGTTTTCCAAGTTTTTGATGTTGATCAAAATCTTCTCCTACAAGCTGATGGTCTCAAATGGTTGCTTCATAGGACATTCCTAATGAAAGACTCTCATGATTCTCCAATTGTCACACTTCATGAAGCGGTAATTATACAATATACCCTATCTTAGACTAGAAATTTTAAATGAAATTATAATAGCTTAATTCAAATTTATAGCATACATAATCAATAGTGCAATACCAATTCGTATATACCCTCCATTTCTTTTTGTTGTTGTTTGGAATTTAGCCATGTCACATGTGGACGTGTATCAGCGCACAACTTTAATCATTAATATATTTATACCTCATATTGTCTTCTGAGCGAATATGCTACCTCCTTCGCCTCTCTAGCAATAGTCTATAACGGTTGCAAAAATGACTTTTGATTGACTCTTGCAAGTTATATTAAGATTGAATATTTTGTTGTTGATGTTATGTAGCGTATTACGGATAAACGTCGATGGGATGTATATGAAGGAGATAGCACAGATGCACCGGATCACATGTTCAAAGTGCAAAGAACAAGCGCATTCCAAGTCAATGCACGACTTGATATCTTATTTCTAGACAACCCTAATCCTGAAGAAGGTAGGTTTCAAATTAAGAAGGATGATGCAAGTTCTAATACCGCTGCTATGTATCAGGGCAGTAGGATTATCGCCCGAGTAAGTCGCCCGGATTAGTAATTTTTTAACTTCTATCTTTATACTTAATAGTAGTATTAGATAATTGAACCGTTTTAATTACGTCATGTAAAAAGAACTGGAGAGCATTGTTGGAAATAATGCTAAGGAAACAAGTTATTTATTGGAGGAAAACTCTTTGTCCCTCATTGGTGGGATAAGGTTGGTTTTACTTGTTTTATATATTGGAAGAAAAGAGTTTTGTCCTACATTGGTGGAGGAGGAAAGTTTTTTCTTAGTTTTTATATGAGGTTTTAAGGTTAGTTGTTTGAAGTGCTATCCTTATAGTTGTGAGCTAGAAGGGGCATCCCCACGTGCATGTTGCCGTTGTCTAATGTGCGTGGTGCGCCTATTTTTTGAGACCATTCAGTTACGAAACTCGCAACAGACGTTTTACTCGTTCAAAAACGTTCCCCTGATTTTCGCCCCCTATTTTTATTGCTTCCTGAATATTCTCTAGCACTTATAAGTTTTAAAGGTCTTTAAAAACCGAGTTTGCAATCAGTTTTGATACACAACAAAAAATTCTCTTCTTCTTCTTCCTCTAAAAATCAGTTTTCCTCTAATCCAGTTTTGAGCATATTGTGAGTTCCAAATCTCTCTTTTTGAGTGCACATTAAGGGAGATCGTTGTGTTAAATCTTGGGGGGCAACGTCATCTCCGATTGCACCATCGTCGGGGCGAATTTTGCTTCTAAGACAGTGTTTCTAACACGTTACAACGTTATACATACATTAAACAATTCGACCCACATTTCAATCTTTATTTTTTCTGATTTTACATTATCTCAACCTACAAGCATAATCATTATATGAATGGTTAGAATTCATAATAAGGGGTCGGAGTTTTAAGAATTATAAGTTCTTACGTAAAATTTATTGAACAATGATTGAAAAAAATTATAGAAAAAATAGAGTGAACTCTAATATTTATATTAGATGATATTTTTATATTGTAGTTTGTATATATTACTTTTGTGTGATGTGAATGATATAGGGGTAGATTACTTTCTAGGTATTGATATTCTTCGAAAGGGGTAGTAACTCGTACAAACATTATTTTACAGGTTGAACATAGAAATACGTGGAAGAACTTTTTTCAGGGAAAGGATGAGTTGAAGGTTGAAGTTACTGAAGGAATAGATTACGCATTTGTTATGTCTGTACTTATAATCATGGGTAACGCCATTTGATAGTACGTACTCCCTAATAGGGGTGTACACCGGTCCAAAACCGGACCGGACCTGGACCGGACCTGTTTGGACCGGGAACTTGAATTGGGTAATTATGAGGACCGGGGACCGGACCTGAATTAACAGGTCCGGTCCGGGTTTGGACCTGAATGAACCTGTTTTGTGTCTTTTTCGTTTTTTTTTTAATACAAAACCTGTTGGACCTGCATATGGACCTGTTTTGTGATTTTTAGACCTGTTGCATAATTTAATAATTACATACAAACCAAAATTATCAATTACAAAACTACATAAAGTCTATAAAGTCCCGATTCTCAAACACCAAAAATACAAATGAGTCCACCGAAAATACAAATAAGTCCACGAAAACTCATAAAATTACATAAATTCTCTTAAGTCTCAACTCTCAAGTACTAGAAATACATAAATTCACCAACGAGTTGTTTTCCCTTTGATCGCGTGATTCACACTAATGAGTCCACGAAAACAACTTCATCGTCTACATCGTTAGATTCACCACGTTGCACCTCTAAATAAAATACAATATAGAATATATTAATGATTGATAACAATGAAATAATAAATTTGGTGTAACAAAATTTCGAATACATAAAATTATTACTACCTTTCTCTATTTCCTCTAACTCTTTCAAATTTTCTTCCACATCAACAATTGGCACTTCCTTAGCTCTAAGCCAATCTTGTGTGCAAAGTAACGCTTGAACCATCTTCAATACAAAAATATTACACAAATATGTATAAACAAATTCATATTAAGATATAAACAAACTTGATTTTATAAAATAAAAAGATAACGATGCATTACCTTAGGAGTTAAAGAACTCCGAAATGGATCTAGAGTACGACCTCCCGTACTAAAAGCAGATTCCGATGCAACGGTCGACAATGGGATGGCTAGTATGTCACATGCCATGCGATTAAGAATCACATAACGCTGACCATTCTTACCCCACCATGTCAATGCATCTTGTTCTTCCTCCTCCGGCCCTAATTGATCATTTAAGTACCTATCCAACTCACTTATCGCATACCCACTTGTCCCCTTCAATCGTTTTGCTCTTTCTTTTAGTTTCCTCACATAATCGGAACCCACTCCTTTACTATTATCAATATCCATTGACATATTATCTCCACAATCTGGAATATTAGAAGTAGCATACATTTTTCTATATTCCTCAAATAAAGAGTAAGCAAACTCCTTCACATCATTAGCAAGTTTTGTACCCTTTTCCGGTCCATGCATATCCGTTAGTGTCAATTCAACAATGACCATCTTAGAGTGAGGGTCGAGAAGAAGAGCAACATAAATGAACTTATTCATCTTATCCACATCCCCCCAATACTTATCAAACTTTTTTTTCATTGCAATGGCCATAGCTTGAAAATTCAAGTCCTCACTTTGTTCCCAATTATTCAACATATCATACATAGAAGCAATTTCTCCTAAACCTTTATTAGCTATCACATAATGGGAACCATAAATTCGTTTAGTTAACAGATAAAACCCCTCTAGAAACAAAACCAACCTCTCCACTTTTTCCCAATCTTCGGGTTCGGGAGGCCTTTCATTGTCATTCAAATCCTCTCCATCAGGAAGAGATAACCCACTAAAAACACGTCGAAACTTCAAAGCCGTTTCCAACATTATGTATGTGGAGTTCCAACGAGTGGGGACATCAAAGGATAAAGAAGATTTTGAATCTATGTTTGCTTTTTGCACAAGATCTTTGAATCTAAGTATTCTTGCAGGGGAATTCTTAACATATTTCACAGCATTTCTAACTCTATCAATGCACACACCATGTTCTCTAATACCATCCCACACAATTAAATTAATGATATGAGCAATGCATCTAACATGAAGATTTTTTCCATCATTTATACATCCTGTTCTTCTAACCATTCTACTCAAGTGTGCACAAGCAACATCATTTGAAGAAGCATTATCAACAGTGACAGTAAAAAGTTTATCATCAATACCCCAATACTCTAAACATGCCTCAACTGCTTTTCCAATAGCCTCTCCTTTATGACTAGAAATTGGACAAAAATTTATGATCTTTTTATTCAATTTCCAGTCATTATCAATGAAATGAGCTGTAAGACACATATAATTAATTCTTTGTATTGAAGTCCAAGTATCAGTGGTCACAGAAATTCTTTGACATGTCTTAAACATTTCTCTCAATTTCTCTTTTTCACTATAATACAACTTTAAACAATCACGAGCAATGGTAACACGAGATGGAATGTGAAATTGTGGACATGCAACTTGCACAAAGTGCCTAAAACCGGGTTTTTCCACATGCTTAAATGGTAACTCATCAACAATAATCATGTGAATCAATGCCTCTCTAACATCATTCAAGTTAATAATCCTACTCCCACACTTTAATTCACTACTCTCATGTTCTTGATCAAAATACAATTTAGTTTGCTTTTCTTTGCCCTTTTCTTTTTCTATATTAATAGGATTACCGAGACATGATTCTGCATGGTTTTTAACATTTTTTGAACCATTAAGATTACCATCAGCAGCAAAAGTTTTAGGACAGAACTTACATTCAGCTCGTAGTTTTCCATTCTCGACGTACTCTAAGTAATATTTCCAATACTCAGCTTTCCTCTTACTTTTTCTGTTCCATATATATTCCCGCCCCGCTTTTAGCTTCTTATCAGGAGGCAAAGTAGATTGCAATTCTTCCATATCCTTTTCAGAAAGTGGCTGTGACGTTTGTTCAGAAAAAGAAGCAGACCGTTTGGATTGAGAGCTCTCCATCTACAATATAATTATATACAATATAAGTAATTTTAAAGTAACAATTATATACACATACCATTTTATAAAAAAATTTAAGAGCAACTTACATTGCAAGAATAAGAATCCGTGGTTCCTTGACTTCCTTCACTCCCTGCAAGAATAAAAACAAAAATAAGAACCCCTGAACTACACACAAGTTAGCCAACTTATTTAATCTTAATAATCTGAGTCCATACTTTTAGCAGCCTAGCAGGAATAAACACAAATTTTAAAGTATAAGTTAGCTTAAAAAGTGTCCATATATACACATTAGAAATATCAATACCAGGTAAATAACGTATATGATACGGAGTATGAGTTAGTTTAATAAGTGCAAGTCCATTCATTATTCATTAGAAAACCAAACAATGATTAATATAATGAATCACTAGTTCACTACTCATCCAAAAAATTTCTCAACGATCAAAATTTATTACGAAGTAGTAAGTTACTAAGTTGTGCCGCATTATGTTGGATCAATTTGCAGGTTGGTTAAAAATAAATAAATAAATAAAAAACAGCCCCATCCCTAACCCTTACCCTACCCAGATCCACCACTGCCCACACCCCTGCTCACCACCCCAACCCACCCCACCCCACCCCTTAACCCTTAACCCCCACACACCAGAACCGTACCACCGTAACCCCACCATAACCCCACCCCAACCCACCCTACCACCCCAACCCATAATTCAAGTGGAGACATATATTACCTTGAATAACTTATACTTTAGGAATAAACACAAATTTTCGCACTAAATTAATCTTAATAATCATAATAAACACAAAATTTCGAACTAAATTTCGCACTTGAACCCTAAACCCTAAACTTCTTAATTCTTATGAACCCTAAACTCAAAAAAACCAAAAAAAAAAAAAAAACAGAAATTCGAAAGAGATGAACTAAAAATAAGAAATTCAACATGCAAACATCAAACAATCATTAAAAGCAATTGAAAATTTGAAACAAGAATAAACATATAAATTCTCACACTTAAATTTATTATTTCGAATTAAAAATACCAAAATTATAAGCAAATACTTACCAGATATTATCGGTGTGCATCGCCTAAGAGAATGAGGGAGGTGTCGGCAGTGGGCGGTGGCCGGAGCGAGTTGGGACAACCGTGTTGAGAAGTTGAGATTGAGGGAGGCTGAGAGAATCAGTTTGGGCTTAGGGAGTTAGGGTTAGAACTTAAAAATATGAAAGAGATTGAGGGAGGCTGAGAGAATCAGATATTTTCTTGTTTTTTTTTTTTTTTTTTTTTAATTACGATTTTCCCGGGTTTCAGGTCCGGACCTGAAAACCCCGGGTTTGGACCGGGTCCGGACCGGGACCGGGAACCTGGATTTTTAAGAACCGGGACCGGACCTGAATCAACAGGTCCGGGTCAGGTCCGGTCCGGTTCAGGTCGGTTCAGGTCCGGGCCAATTTTTGTACACCCCTACTCCCTATTGTTGTACTCTTGTACAGATCATGCTCCAAATTAGAAAACTTAATTTTGTTTTATTTTTCTATTTTGGAATTTGTTTTTTACAATTTTAATATTGCGACAGCAAAACAAATTTGTACTCTGTTACAAAAGTATGGGGATCATTTTCGTTTTAATTTTCAAGTGTAAATTCATTTTGTCAACATATAGTTCTTGTACTACTCTTCTATAAAGTAATTTATGTAAGAAAATTTTGAGTTTTGTTACCACCAAAACACTCTGTTTTGATTTTTGCTACTTATCTAAAATTTTATTTTATTTTATTTTACAATATCTAAAAGTTACAAAATACTCCGTATAGCTTTTGTTATCACTTAACATAATTCGTAGGGTTCCGTTAAATGGAGTCCATTATCTCATTAAATAATGATTTAATTTTAAAAAAAAAAATTAAAAAAAAAATACCGATTACTGTCAGCCTGTCAACCACCTCTCCCCCCTCCCCGTACCGGCTGTCGGCGCCCAAACGATCCCCGGACGCCGGCGACCTCACCCCCTCTCCCCTTTTCCACTCTTAGCTGCCCCAACACCACCCATCCCCTCTTTTCCCCCAACTGGAAATGGGCCCCCTCCTTACCCCCACCCTGAATCGACCCCTTACCCTTCCCCTACCCAAAAACCAGCACCCTAACCCTAAACCCGACCCTTAAAAAAACCACCCTAAACGGGTTTTAAGGTTTCGTTGGTTTCAAGGTGGCATTTAGAGTTAGGGGTGCCGGTTTTTGGGTAGGGGAAGGGAAGGGGGGTCGATTCAGGGTGGAGGTTGAGGTAGGGGTAATAGGGGTTAGTATAGTAGGAGTTCATATAATAGGGTTTAGATAGTAGGGGTTCATATAATAGGGTTTGAGGTAGGGATAGAAGGGTAATTAGGATAATAGGGGTTTCTATAGTAGGGGTTCATATAGTAGGTGTTGAGGTAGGGATACATACTATTTAACCCATATTATCCTAACCCCTACTATACTCTAATATATGCACCCATAGGGGTTTGATAGTAGGGGTTAGGATAGTAGGGGTTGAATAATAGGGTTGATATAATAGGGGTGGATATAGTTAGGGTTAGGTTAGTAGGGATAGTAGGAGTATAGTATAGTAGTGGTTAGGCATAAGGGGTATGTGAGGATATTAAGGGGGTTAATATAGTAGGGGTTAGAATATAGTAGTGGTTCATATAGAGGGGTTATTAAGGGATAGTAGGGGTTAGGGTGGTAGGGGTTAGAATAATAAGGGTTAATATAGTAGCGGTTATGAAGGGATAGTAGGTTTCTGATAGTTTAATTGATTAGGATAGTAGGGGTTAATATAATAGGGGGTTAATATAATAGGGGTTGAAGTAGGGATAATAGAGGTTAGTATAGTAGGGGTTAAACAGTATGGGTTAGGATAGTACGGGTTAGATAGTAGAGGTTAGAATAGTAGGGGTTATTAAGGTATAATAATGGTTAGGATAGTAGAGATTCATATAGTATAGCTTAGATATTAGGGGTTAGAATAGTAGGGGTTCATATAGTAGTGGTTGAGGTGGGGATAGTTAAGGTTTGTGAGGGATACTAGGGGTTCATATAGTAAGGGTTGGTATAGTAGGGTTATGAAGGGATAGTAGGGGTTTATATAGTAAGGGTTAGGATAGTAGGGGTTATTAAGGGATAGTAGGGGTTCATATAGTAAGGGTTACGATAGTAGGGGCTAGTAATAGAAGGGGTTAGGATAGTAATGGTATAGATAGTGTGGGTTAGAATAGTAGGGATTAGGGTAGTAGGGGGGTTCATATAATAGAGGTTAGGATAATAGGGGTAGTAAGAGTTCATATAGTGAGAGATAAGAGGAGTTAATATAGTAGGGGTTAGATAGTAAGGTTTTATATAATAGGGGTTCCCAACCTTGGGGTGAATGAAATCCGATACATAAATCGGTTACTAAAAGAATGGAAAAAGCTTTTATTGTGTCGCTTAAATTATATAGGAATTCCTGAACCCAAGAATTAAGAAGAATAAGTTCTTTATTTGCCAGAATGGAATAACCACCTAGAATAAGGAAACAGATTAAATTTGTGGAGAAGTGCAAAATCATATGGATACAATCTTCATTGTACGTCTTGATCAATTGAATCGTTTCATTGTGGATTCCTATATAGTTGTATAGATAATATGGATTAGTATAGTAATAGGTCTTAAGGTAGGGAAAATAGGGGTTAGATAATAGAGGGTTCATATAGTGAGGTTAGATATATAGTAGAAGTTTTGAGGGATATTAGGGATAGTTGGGGTTAGTATAGTAGGGGTCAGGGTAGTAGTAGGAGTTGAGGTAGGGATAGTACCCCTACTATCCTAACCCCTATTATCTAACCCCTACTATATGAACCCTTACTATCCTAACCCCTGCTATATGAAACTACCATACTATCCTAACTCCTAATATACAATTCTACCCCCTACTATCCCTATCCTAACCCCTACTATCTAACCCTACTATATTGTTCCTACTATCCTAACCCCTATCATACAATCCTTCCCCTTATTTTCTTAAGTCATACTATCTAACCCCTAATATCCCTATCTCAACTCTTATTATCCCTCATATAGTAGGGTTAAGATATAGGTAAGGATTAAGATAATATGGGTTAGATAGTAGGGTTTAGGGTAGTAGGGGATGAAATATGGATAGTAGGAATTAGATAGTAGGGTTTCATGTAGATATACTACCCTAACCCATTATATAAGGGGTTTGTGAGGCATTGTAGGCCCCTACTATCCCTACCTCAAGCCCCCAACTCCTATTACCCTAGCACCTACTATCAAACCCCTACTATATGTACCCATATTATTTAACTCCTACTATCCTAACCTCTACTCTATACTAACCCCTACTATACCAACCCTTTTATTCTTCACAAACCCCTAATATCCCTATCTCAACCCTTACTATAAGAGCCCCTACTATCGTTTGGGCACCGACAGCTGGTATTAGGAGGGGGGTTGGCAGTGAGGTGGCTGGGCCTCACTAACGGAAATAGTAACCAATTTTGTTAAATGTTTTTTGCTTTTAGGTGGTAGTAAAATAAAACAAAAAATTTAGATGGGTAGCAAAAGTCAAAGTGGTGTATTTTAGTGGTTGCAAAAGTCAAATTTTCCTTTATGTAAAGAGAAATGGGGCTATTTTTTCCAATTTTTAGTTAAGATTTTTGTTCCATTAAGATATTTGAATTAATATTATTTATTATTTAGGGTAGTGAAATATAAAGCCTTCAAGCAGTAAATAAACATTTAATATATTTCATAATTTGGAATTAATTAGGAATACATGTCAAAGTTACACATTGATCGATATGATTAATACTTGATTTAGTTTGATATCTTCATTTTTAGCTCCTTATACGCAATTTTAGGGACTTTATTAAATCATTTTCAACTATTTATTGAGATTTGTAATATACAATTACGTTAAGGAAGTCTGTGGAAAGTTCTTGTCGCTTGAATGGTTGCTCTGCTCTTGATTGTGTTCAACGAGTCAATTGATCGGATAATTTATACCATAATTGCAAGCTCTTGATTGATCCGATCAATTGACTCGTTGAGCACAATTTACAACACAATTGGAAACTCTTGATTCTCACTATATTGATACAAATAAGTATGACAATGGGATTAAGGCCCAAAATAGTTAAGGACGTGACATGATGATATCGAATCACGCTTAAACTAACTTATCGAAATTGACATGACGCAACGGTCTCATGTTGTATCATACAATCATGTCACTTGACCCACAAGCCAACATGGATTTAATTGAGAGCTTGGGGCAGACCAAACTCATGCCGGATCATGTCGTGCTTCGACTCGTTACTAACTTTGCATCTAAGAGGCAAAAGACCCAAAAGAACCTTCCCATTTTTTTCTCCTCAAAATTAAAGTCCATATTCCATAAAGACCCGGCCTTAATTTTGTGCCCAAACTCGAGTTGAGTGTTGGAACTGCACTTAATTTGAGAAATACCCAGAAACATTCTGAAATAAAGTAGCTTTGTTAAACACCCATTAACAAGATCAAATAATTCTCCATTGTTAAATACCAATGCGTGGTTTAGCGGCTCAGATTTATACTGTGAGTTTTTATTTCACAAATCCAATTTTTGGGATTATTTCAACCTATTTCTTTAATTAAGCTTGTATTAATCATCAAATTTGTTCTGTTTTAAGTATTTTTGCAGAGTTAGACCAGGAAATGTACAATCTAATGGAAACTCTACATTTCTCAGAACGAAAGGTCAAAATTGTTGCCTCTTTTTTATTTTTCTGTGATTAATACAAATTAAATTGAATTGGGTTTAAGTTATTTAGTTAATTAATTAAGGTATTTTGTAATTTGGGATTTTCAGAAGAATTAACTCTTGAAGAAGAAGCTGAAAGAAAAATTGGATGGGTGCTTAAGCTTATATTTGCTGGCACTGCTACTGCTGTTGGTTACCATCTTTTTCCTTATATGGGTAAATTTTGGTTTTTTCCTTCTATCTATCAATTTATATCTGAGATTTTTGTGTAAAAGAAGAAAGGACTGAACTTTTGCATATCGTAGCAATTGAGTTGATTTTTTTTTTTTTTTTTTGTTTAACTGATTTCTTGTGTTTTTGTTCAATTGTCTTGTACAGGAGATAATTTGATACAACAATCTGTGTCACTTTTGCAAGTAAAAGATCCCTTGTTTAAGAGAATGGGTGCATCTCGGATTGCTCGTTTCGCTGTAGACGGTATAATTCAGTGTTCTTTAGCTTGTGTTGCTTTTGTTTTCCTGTGAATTATATCTTTGGTGTGGTTTTTGACTTGTTATGTTGGAGCTATGAGGTTGGGGAGCATTTGCCCAACAAGTGTATTAGGGCATATTTGATGTATTGTGGAAATGAGGATAAATAGGCATTCATCATGTGTTTCATCTTTCAATATGCATATTAAACCCATTACAATTTCAGCTGTATTTTGAGAAGGCAATATTAGAAAGGGGGTTAGGAAAAAAAATAAATCAGTTTCCTTTTTTTTTATAAAAAAGGATCATCTTGCAAAGGCAAATGTGTACATTCCTGAGCTACATAATGCGTCCACCTTCATGTTTATGTTATATGCATCTTGCATCTCACTTGCCAGCCATTACTTGAAGTCTTGAACTTTTATTTGTAACCAAGCAAGTACTTTGTATCAATTTGCATGAAACACTTCAAAAAAATTTAAGAGGATGCAGGGTTGCAAGATCTTGTTAATGTGGATGCAAAAACCTGTTAAGTCATGCTGTACGTGGGTGATTATTATTGATGATCAACAACGCTAGTGTGCTACCGCTTATAATACCCCTTTGCCGTTGACAAAATGATGGACTCTATAACTGCATTATGGAAGCCAATGCTACAAGATACAGTTTTAATTTATTTCTCTATTTTTATTGATGTTTCTGTGCATTTCCCTTGTTCTTTCCTCTCTGAAGTGCATTTTAAAGAGGCCATAAAAGGAAATTAGATTTTAGATTTTAAATTTGTTGTAGATGAAAGGAGGCTGAAGATTCTAGAGATGGGTGGAGCTGAAGAGCTTGTGAAAATGCTGGACACTGCTAAAGATGACCGAACTAGAAAAGAGGCGCTTAAAGCACTTTCCGCTCTTTCAGCTTCAGGTACGATTCAATAATTTGTTGTTTTTTACTTAATGCTCTCAAAAGATAGTTTCTGTTGGGTCTTCGGCCCTGCTGAACAATACAGAATACTGATATTACTGAGTTCAAAAAGAATGCCCCTTCTGTGATTTTATCTATTTTTGGGGGGTAAATTTGGGCTTGATTAAAAGATATCACATTTTATATGATAGTAGTAGGTAATTTACCATGCCATCGTTCTTATATGTTATTTCACACTCGGTATGAGCAGATATCTTCAGTGAAGGATGAGTTATAACTGTTCTGTGACTCTGAGGACTTAAAATTTACATAATACTGATAAACAAGATAATGGGATTCCTACATATTGCACTTCAGAAGATAGAATGACTTGCCTCTACTTACACCTTACTAATAAGACTGATACTATCCACGAAATCTGAAGCTTCTTCAGAAGTAACAGGTTGATCATATAGTTTAATTTAAGTACTGAATAAAGGTTCTGATGTGCAATGACCGCTGCAGACTAGGTCATAGGCTGAGAGATCGAGAGAAATAAAACAATAGTCATTCTGAGCCACCAAACTTGCAAATACATTTATTAGTTCACGAATTTCAAGGTGGCTTTAGGGACGACAAACAACTTACCTCACCTTTCATTTGTTTTTGAAGAAAGATAACCTTTGTAATGTATAGTATTTGAACGGTGAAAAATGGTACGAATATCTGTGAATATCTTCCTTTCTCCATCACATTGAGAAGAACTCCTTTTGCTAGCATAATATAGAATTTTCTTCCAACATTTTAAAATGGATAATTTATGTAGAATTCAAGCATCCTAATGACCTTTTGCCTTTTGTTTCTTATATTTCTATGTCACTTGTTAGGACTATATGGTACAAGTTCTCTCTGTACAGCCTTTTTCGGGTAGGAATTGTAGACTTGGAGACTGAGCATGATCTTGTTCTATGGGAAATTCCTTGTAAAATCATCTTTATTTTGCAAGGAAAACCTCCAAGGGTAACTTTGTGTTTATGCTTTCCATGTATACACACACAAATGAAAATAAAATAAATAAATAAATAAATAATAATAATAATAAATTAAAAAAAAATAAAATTTGATCATGGGGGTCTAGTGGGTATAAAATTAGGAGTGTAAATTTGTAATTTATGGGAGGGAAGCCAAAGATACATCAGCTTCAAGAAGGTTGTTTAAATTGGGAGTTTGTGGTGTGAATGTGACCTCATCCCCTTGTGGGATGTGGTGGTATATGCTTATCGTATCTCTCTTCTACAGAATTGGGTTTTCCCTTATCTAAAAAGTTAAAACCAAGGAATTGGACTCCTCTATTTATTCCATTTAACAATATGGTCAGGATAGAGATAGAATGCTTTTTTGAGTTTCTCACATTGATTAAGTGCTCTGGTCAAATTCCCTAGTTGAAGGAAGTAGATGATTCAGTCAGTAATTTTTTTTAGAGTCAAATTCTAGGTTGTGATGAAGACTAATGCCAAAAAGGGAAAAAAAAACTGGTCGTTTTGTAGTGATTGACATGGGAGTATTGTTTGACATCCTGGAAATGTTAAAGATCTCCTTTAGTTTTGGACTTAAAATTGTTTTGTAAGTTTTTTTGATAAAATAACTTCAATACCCTTACTTAAGCTTTTATAAACTGATTTACATAAATAAAACACACCTTATTAAAATCTTAATTTAACTTAATTAATCTATCAATTCACCAAAATCATCTGAATCTCTCTCTCCTCGACTGAACCAAATCTCCTCCGGCCACCACCTTCGCCCACGCCGTCACCCTTGCTTGCACCTCCCCAGTCGATGAAAGTCTTGTTCTCGGCCCACCCTTCTAACCTCGCCCACACCCCAGCCGGCCACGGTGCCCTGTCACCCTATTAACTCAGCCTACCCTCCACTCACGCCTCTACCTCTCAAGTTTAGATCTGGTGGTTTCAAGACAAAAGGGAAGATAGCGTCGTTTTCCGGTTGTTGCTGGTTGGGTTTCGCATCTTTTTGGGGTAAGTGGGTGTGGTTTCGGGTGATTGCTTGTGTGCGGCTGTGCGCGGTGGGTGGGGTAGAGTAATGATGGTGGGATTTCAGGTGGTTGGGTGGGATAGAGGAGTGGTAGGGTTTTCGAGTTGTTAAGGTGGTCGGTGGGGTTTCAGGTGGGTCAATGGAGAGTTTTGGGTGGTTAGCTGGGGTTTCAGTGGTGCGGTGGTGGTGGTGGTGGTGGTGGTGGTGGTGGCGGTGCGAGTTGCTGTGTTGACGAGGGTGGTGGTGCGAGTTGCGGTGTTGACGAGGGTGGTGGTGGTGATGGTGGTAATTTATTAATGTGTCACTTTCTCTCTCCTTCCTTAAATCACATGCCCTTCCCTTTTCTTAGTTACCCATTTCATTTTTTGCCTAGGATACCACGTCTCCTCCAAAGTTGCGCATAATGTGTAACGGAGGTAGTATTTAACATCATATATTCACAACATTGGTTTCTGCAGACGAAGCTGCTGCTGCGTTACACCAAGCTGGAGTAATTTCTGTGATCAGGTCGGTTCCAGACCCTGCTGAGGATCAAGACATCACCACTTACAAGTCAAGTTTACTGAAAATGTTTCAAGATTTGTGATACAACTGAAAATCTTGGCTTTTAACTACTTATATTTTCATCTCCGATACTATCCATTTACAGTATTAAAGTCGATGCCAGCAACAGAATGCAGGTGCAGCATGATTAATTACGACTCTTTTGAAGACTAGAATGAGATGTGCTGCCCTACCATGAGCACAAAATAAGATATGTTTTATGTTCTTTTTGATGTATTTGGGCAAGGAGGTCAGCTGAGTTAAGTGCCCTATAAAACTGTGTCAATTACTGATAATTTCAACATGTGATTCATACTTCATGCCTTCATGGGAGTGTAACCCATTTGTAGAGTTATGATCTTGATTGACACACGGGTCCTTTTAATTAAATGTAATTGTTGATCAATTAATTGTCTCACTTTACTTGTTCATTTCTTAATACATTACCCTTTTTCTTTTACTACCCTAACCTGAATTAACTCAAGGAAATCCAAATTCTTACAGAATACGTTTTTTTTTCATATTGTCCACACTCCAACGCGAGTATTTATGCGCTTTAACTTGCACTTGAATTCTTCTCCAAGCATCCTGCCTCCATTTCTCTTAAATCTTGGCCTAAAACCTTGAAACTCACTGCCTTATCCAAGCGCCAATACTATATACTCCTCTCCAATGGTTCAGTGCATGCATAGGCTTGCGCTTGATACCTATGACCATGTGATTGAATCCTCAAAAGCATTCCCTGTGACCATTGTGATTGAATCCTTCACCAAAGCATATTCCTCATTACGCTTAGATCTCAACCTTAAACCGTCAAATCCACTGCCTTCTCCCTCACCAATGGTTCAGTGCATAGGCTTGCGCTTGAATCGCTAGCCTTTGTGCTCAGATCCTTCTCCAAAGCATACTACCTCATTACACTTAATTCTCGACCTTAAACCGCTCAACTCACTGCTCTTAACAATGACCAACACTATATACCCATTTCTCTCCAATACTTCAGAGCATAGGCCTCAATCAAAATTATCACTGCCTTTACAGTAACATGAGTCATCTCAAATCGGAGCTTGAATGGAAAGATAGATGTGTATAAATTTAAGATGTTTGTTGCACCAGAGTTTACACATTCTGTAGATAACTAAAATTAAAATACTCAAATTCAACACACGGGAAGTAGTTTGATCCAACTACAAATTGTTTCACTTGGATGCCTGCAATACTACTCACTTGCTCAGATATAGCAAACCCGAACATGGAAAAGAAACCAAAATACTACCAAAGATTTAGCACAAAATAGAGGGAAGACTGCAAAATTAATCATATTAGCTGATGATATACCATCAAATCCATATTATAGCCAAAGAACTAACATTCAATTCAACTAAAAATACTCTAAAACTCCAAAAGAGTAAAAATACAAAATTAAGTTCTTAAATCTTTTTTTGATTCATAACATCAGCACTCGAACTTCCACATCCTTCCTGGTTGATACTACCCAGGAACACTAACTGCAATTATGTGAACTCCTTACTGGCCACTTTGAGCCTTCTTCTTCTGCCAAAGGCGATCAAGGGCACTGTCGGCATCACCCTGCACAGGAAAATAAATCCTATGTAAGGCTACCCAGTGCAGACGGCTATTTAACAAGAAAGAATTAAAGAGAATATGTAAACTTTGCAGACCTGAGCACGGACAAAACCAGAAAGAGCAAAGGTGGTGGCGCTGCCAGTGTAAATACCCCTGTCATCTAAGTGACCAACGTTGATTTGGACTGAAGCATGGTCCTTGGAATAGATCAACCTGTTAGTGGCCGAACTGAAATAACACGAGACCCAGAAAAGACATCAATTATCCAGTAAAGCAAGGACTATAAAAGACAAGCTAATCACATTAGCATAACAAAATGTAAGCATACCATTTCCTGGGAATGTAAAGATCAATGATCTCTCCCTCGTCGTTTTGCATCTTTGCTTAGTTTTTAGGTGATAACACAACAATGCAAATACCTATTTTACACATAAAAAAAAACTATCAAAACATGCTCCAAGAAAACCATTCTCAGCAAAAGCAATAAGTAAAATTACGCTATACATTCAATCAATTAGTAACGACAACCGATGAGTAGACGACCGATTAACCTAAACATATACCAATAGCAGCCATGAACCAACATTAAAGCTAAAAATACTTGAAACAAAAATGCAACCCTTAGTATATAATCAATAATTAGCAAGCTTATACTAATTACAATCAAATCAATTCAAATTGTCCAAACAGAAACCCCATAATATATTCAGCAAGGGTTTCAACAAACAGCCTGATTATCAAGCCATAATTTAGATTTTAGAATGAAAGTAACTTTAAATTCTGGTTGAAAAACCAAACAAAATTCATTAATTGGAATATATCACAACTAGTTCAAACATTCAATCCATTAATTCCAATAAACTTGATCAACACCCGCAAATTTTAACAAAAAACCCACATCCCACATCATATTCTTCATTTCTAATTCAAAGCAACAAATTTCAACCATTTAAACAACTTTTTACCCAGAAGAAAATTGAAAAAAACAGACTTCTCTTTAATTTGCCAGAAATTTCAAAAAAATAAAAACAAATTTAAATCAACACGTACAACAACAACATAAAAAGGCATGAATGTAGAATCAACCATGAAATTGTGGAGTACAATTAAAAAGTAAAGATCAAACTAATTCAGAAATTCAAAATAAAAAGGAAAATACAATGAAGGAAGCAAAGGAGAGAGGAGAAATAAACCTGAGAAGGAAGCAGAGGAGAGAGACGGCGCAAGTGATGGGTGAAGAAGACGAATAAGGGGAAGTGTGAGGAGATTATAAGACCTTGGGAAAACCCTAACTTCTTATCAGTGGGCCAATTTATGGGCCTTCAACTAAACCTACGACTTTTTTATGGGCTTTTATTGGGCTATTTATCACTGCATTGCAAATGATAGGTAAAGTTGAAATTGATCAATTTCTTATTCCCTCTGTCCCAAATTATAATTCCTATTTGTGTTTTTTCACGGTATTTAAAAAATGGGAGGAGAAGATGATGAAGTATATTTAAAAAAGTGAGAAATACGATCATAGACAAAAGTTAGAGAAAGAAAGTGAAAAAATGTACAAGGCTAGTGGGAAATTCAAGGGTAATTTAGGAAGTACAATGAATAAAGTTAAAAAAAATAAGGTATAATGGTCTTTACATACTATCCAAAAATAAAAACGGACAACATTTTAAGTTTCCAAAATTGGAAAACGGGAACTATAATATGAGATGAAGGGAGTATAATATTGTAGGTTAATTGGCGATAACAACCTTTTTCTTATTGGAAGGTTGCCCTCTCAATTGAAGAAATTTATCCTGAAATGTATCATTTAAAATTATCTCGACATTTAATAAAACTCATAATCAATTAGAAGTCACCCACCCTATATTAGGGCAAATGTTACTGGAAAACTATAAAACGTTACCTAAAAACTCAGTGTGTAATAAAATTAGAGTATACTAGGTGTATCGAAAAGTCTTTTATTGACAATGGACTAAAAAGTTTTCTTAATGCGAAGTGATTGAACCGAAAAACTTCCCAACTGCACATGACTAGTTCCGAACAACGTGATTTACTCCTATGCATTTGTCATACAGAGTCAATGTTCTATAATGGCTATAGCCTATAGGTTAAATGTTACGCAAAATTTGAATGATGATTTACGCATGTTTTCATTTGTAATAAATAATTTCCGACTATACGAGTATTACTATACTCTTGCCATTTGGACGAAGTTTGTAGCTCTCGTTTGCCATCATGTTCATAGGTAAGTTATTTGGAAATACAGAAAATTGTGCCAAAATTCATGTTTATTTAGACAATTAACTTAAATATTTTACATATTCCTATATTTTATTGATAGAGTTGGAGACCTTGGAGGTAGTATAATGGTTTTTGGTAGAGCCGTTCAATTTAAAATAGGAAAAATTGATTCTAATAATCCCATCTTTAAACGATTCGCTGTTAATAATCCCACCTTTTGATTAATATTTAATAATCCCATCTTTGGGGGGTATTCACTTCTAATGGTCCCTTATGACCGGTAATTTGTTGTTTGGGTAAGTTTTTTTTTTTTTTTTTTAACTTCCTTGGCCACTAGGAGGTAAGAAAAAAAATTTATTTATTTATTTATTTTAAGGAAGAAGGAAAGGGAAAAAAAATTAAATTTTTTTAAAAAAAAATATTTCGACGAATCACAAAGTGACACGTGACATGTTAACCCATTATACCGGTTACCAACAAGTTAGGGACCATTAGAAGAGAATGCCCCTTAAAGGTGGGATTATTAGATAATAATCAAAAGGTGGGATTATTAGCAGCGAACCGGCCAAAGGTGGGATTATTAGAATCAATTTTTCCTTTAAAATATTGGTAGCTTCTTTGATTATTCCCTCTGTTTTTTTAATTTGCATCATTTTAGGAATGTTTTTTTTTTTTATAAGTTGCATTACTAATGTCAATCAATAACATAATAGTAAAACAGACACCAAGAATGACACGAGTCACTTCTTGGTGTTGTTTTTCCCCCTCTAAAACTTTTTTTCTTTGTTTTTTTTATTCACTTCCTTAAAAAAAAAATTCATTTCTTTATACAATTGTAATTCACTTTCTTAAAAAAAATATTCACCAAATCATATAATTGTGATTCACTTCCTAAAAAAAAATTCACATATTTTCCATATTTTTATTGTATAAAATATTATTCTATATCTTTTACTTTTTTTTGGTGTTTTACCTAGTTCACAGTTTGGTCTAATCCAAATTCAGGGCTCAATTATGGGTACAAATTAAGATTCAAACTTTTTCAATAGCATTTAAAAATATGAGGATTATTTGTTGGTAGATTTTGAATTAACATTATAATTAGTTATAAAATTTTGTAAAAACCGTGTGTGGCACATGACTTAATCTAGTATTTTATTATTTCTCTCTTACTTTAAACCCCACTCAAATAATTTATCATTTCTCTAATTCGATCTCTCATAGTCCCCACTACTCTCTCTCATATACATTCACTTTCATAGTCCTCACATTACTTTTATCCTAATAAATTATTCATGCACTCACATTATTATATTATACCAAATTCATTCTCTTAAAACTCCGCAGAGAGTAGTAAAGGACAGTCTTTAGTGATCCTTTCTAAATAAAAAGTACTCAAAATTAAGATTTCACATTTTTCACTCAATGATTGTACTAAATATATCTGTTAAAATGAAAATGCTATGGATGTGAGTTCTTTGAGTGAAAACGGAGTATGCACTTTTGATGTGGAGCATTGAAGAACCAACAGTCTGACATAGCAAACAATCTGCCGAACGAGTGTTGTTGCCCTCTTCTAAATAAAATTACCCTTGTTATACCATTCTAAATAGTCGGGTTTTTTTGTGAGTAGAAATCCATATATGTATAATATGTTACATTAGATTGCAAAAACCTCTCACCCTATTTCTATATGCAGATGGCCAACTCTCCATCACAGTTACATACACATACCTCCAGTCCATGATACAAAGACATCATTCCAAGATGGAACAAGGCCATGGATTTACTCATTAACTTGCATCTACAAATGAATAGCTCATGGTGCTAAAATCAACCGCATTCCCACTCAATTTATAGACACTATGATCATATAATATACCAAAAATACGCACAATGAATACAATCGAGCCAGACAACCAGGGTAATTCTAAGACTTGCTTTCGTTGAAAATATTTGTTGCAATAGAAATCGTGCTGGTAACTACTGCCAAAGTCAACATTATCAAGGCAACAACTTTATCTCTAGTTGAAGATATGCCGCGAACATCTCTGCCATGAGAAAACAGATTTCATAAGCAATGACAATTTGTATCCATAGCTAATGAAAAGAAGTAAAAGCCAGAGTAGTATACCTTAGAGTGATGGCAGCAGGGAAAATGAATGCTATTGAGATGATGGTAGTAGAACCAACATACTGAAAGAATATCCATATATCCGGGATGGCAATAGCAGCCAAGTAGGATAAGCCCAATAGTACTAAAGTGAGAGAAATGAATCTGAATTTGTCATTAGCTAAAACTAGCTTCTTAGGGAACAGGAGTTCATCTATGTTGCCTCTCAGAGAGAAGTTCAGCAGAGGATAGACTAGCACAAGGTGAAAAGCGTAGCTCAACCGTACCACATCATTCAGGAAAGGGCTTGCAGAAGACCTGTCGAAGTTTACAAGTATGTCGGAAGCAATTGACTCCCCAAACAGAAGGTACCCGAAGAAGCCAACAGAGAAGTAGATGACAACACAAAGTATGAGAGAAATTCTTGTTGCTGTTGTCATCTTAGACGGCTTGCCAAGTTCTGAGCTAATCGGATGGACTACAAAGGAAAACAGTTAATATTTCAGATGCACTCTTTTTATCAAAATATGATTTCATTTACCTTTAACTCATAGTAATTAGTATCAAAAAAATTTACTTAAAATATTCAGAAAGTGACCACTGAGCAGCTTGTGCTGAACTGAGAAAATTTCCCAGCAACACAGTTTTGCATAATTTTTCAGTTTCGAGGGGAAAAAAAATTGTAACAGGAAAATTAAAGGTCTATTTATAGTTTAGTGCAAAGATTAGAGAAACACCTTCCCTTCTTTTCTTTTCTCAAGGCAGTTAAGAAAGCTTTAGTTTATATATTTTCATGTAAAAAAGTTCCTTTGGACTAGAGAGCAAAAATATGTATAAGTTGGTAAATTAACTACTCATAGTTCGGATTATTTTGCACATACCACTTCTACTGGCTCATATTATGTCGGAATTCACTTAATACTATTATAGTTGAAATTTTTTTTACTCACCATTGAAGTGAAATGTGAATGCTGTTACAATTACTGGGACAGCAGTGAAGAGGTTGAAGAATGAAGAATGACCATCCAATTCAGGAAACAATCTAGGCTTTTGAACATTTCCTTCAAAGAGCGCAGAGATGGCCATCACGAAGCTAATGCAAACAAACACCACGGCTAGGAGAACAGCCACTGCAGAGGAAAACCTCAAGGATTCTGCATGAAAAAAAAAATGGGAGTTCAGCTCATACTTAGATCATGTTTGAACAGATTCTAATGATCACGCCTGAGTAACGTTTAACTAGGGCTTTAATCGATAGTTTTTCAGGAAAGCATCTCCACATTTTAGCAAGAAATTCTTATTACAGCATAAAGTAAATACTGTTAACAGCACAAATAGACTGAGTTGAGCTTACCAACACGCCGGAAAAGTGCTAAAGGGAGAAGAATGAATACGACAATGAAGAAAAGGGCATAAGGCCGAGCATTCCACCAATGAGAGCCAAACCATTCTTGTAAAACACCCAAATGAATGGACTCTCCATTCTCACTCCCAGAGAAAACATCCCCTGCCGGGATAAAAAGCATTAGGATATTAAGCACATGTTTTAAGAGCTCGTCATGGAAAACATCATCGTATTTAAATATACGAATGCCCAACACAAAAAGAAAATAAGCTATGCCACATTGTCACTGCCAAATTGTTACAACTTACGAGTAATCACCTAATCAGATTGTTCTATATACCTCATTGACAGTCCAGATTTGTCCCTAATAGAATAAAATTCTAATTCAACCAGCTTGAATTTGATCTTTTGACATTAATTCAAGCTGCAAGTTAACTATAGACAGAGCGAGTCCAATAAAACAATCAATCCAATACAGAAACAGTCTCTCAAAAGCACATAAATTTGCAAGAATTAGCATAAATTGCACAGCACATAAATGGATGTATGGATGTGGCACTTTATCTACCTAAGTTGTTAGATCAAAGTTCAGTTCTTTCAAGAAG